GTAATGTCTACTGTACTTAACTAGTCTCTTTGGTCGTTGGTATATTAATGTCACGTTGTTGAAATAATGTGTTTATATATATATAACTTTATTTTATTTTATTTTATTTTCGCCTTTAAGCATGACCCAATTTCCTCTTTAAGAATTACCCAATTTCCTCTTTAAGAATTACTCAATTTCCTCTTTAAGCATTACTCAATTTCCTCTTTAAGCATTACTCAATTTCCTCTTTAAGCATTACCCAATTTCCTCTTTAAGAATTGCTCAATTTCCTCTTTAAGCATTACTCAATTTCCTCTTTAAGCATTACTCAATTTCCTCTTTAATCATGACACAATTTCCTCTTTAAGCATTACCCAATTTCCTCTTTAAGAATTACTCAATTTCCTCTTTAAGCATTACTCAATTTCCTCTTTAAGAATTACTCAATTTCCTCTTTAAGAATTACTCAATTTCCTCTTTAAGAATTACTCAATTTCCTCTTTAAGCATTACCCAATTTCCTCTTTAAGCATTACTCAATTTCCTCTTTAAGCATGACACAATTTCCTCTTTAAGCATTACTCAATTTCCTCTTTAAGAATTACCCAATTTTCTCTTTAAGCATGACCCTATGACCAATATCTCAACAGGGTGCAATCATATCGGCCTTGCACGAGGGTTGCCACTTGGACCCCGCCTACTGGGAGAAACCTTACGATCTCTACCCCGAGCACTTCCTCGACGACAAAGGGCAGGTTCTCACCAAGAAGGAGGGTTTCTTACCGTTCTCTTTGGGTGAGTTTGGGAGATTGTGTGTGTGTGTGGGTGGGTATGGGTGGGTGAGTGTGTGGGTGGGTGTGGTTGGGTGGGTGAGTGGGTGTGGGTGGGTGGGTGAGTGGGTGTGGGTGGGTGGGTGAGTGGGTGTGGGTGGGTGGGTGGGTGGGTGGGTGAGTGGGTGTGGGTGGGTGGGTGGGTGGGTGGGTGTGTGTGTGTGTGGAGGGTGGGTAAGGGGGGTCTTTATGTGTGTGTTTTTTGTGTGGGTGGGTGGGGTGGGGGTGGGGGATATATCTCTGTTTGTGTTTGTGTTTGTAACTTGATAGTTTCGTGTGGGGTGTGGGGTCTTTAATGTGTGTGTGTCTATGTCTGTATCTGTGTCTGTATTTGTGTCTCTGCGTGAATTAATCCATATTTACTACACTCAATACACCTTTACACTTTACATATTCACTACAATTTATCCACATTTACTACACTCCACGTATTACTTCGTCGAACACATCCACCACACGTCACAAATCCCCGCCATGCCCTCCGTACAACTCCATCACGCCCACTTCTGTCCCCAGGGCGTCGCCAGTGCCCAGGGGAGTCGCTGGCCCGCATGGAGCTCTTCGTCTTCCTCTCCGCCCTCCTGCAGAACTTCTCCTTCTCGGTCCCCAAGGGCAAGGAGCTCCGGCTCGAGAAGAACCCGAAGGATTCCTTCCTCAATCTGCCGAAGGATTTGGATATTGTTATTACCAAGCGACCGTAAATATTGTGTGTGTGGCTTGGTATAAATCCGTTTAGAACAATGTTCCCGCTGTCTCTGTATCGTATTAGTTCAATATAAAAATAATAACATTAATAATTATAACCGATCTTGCTTCTATACCAACTGTATCTTCAACATTTCAACGGTATTTTTTTATGGCACAGTAATTAATAATAAGCTTTATATTTGCTACGACAGATGGAATTAAATAATGCAGTACGTATCCCATCCAGCCTGGTCCACATGTAATTAATTCCAGATACTGTAACAGTTCATTGTATTTTTTCTTTCTTTCTTTCTTTTTTTAACTATTCTCCCTACTTGGTGACAGAATTGACTCTTTCTTTTGCAAAAAATAAAGAAAACTCTCACATTGTGTTTTGTAGATGTGTTGTCCTTTTGGAGGGTGAGGGGGGGAGGGGAATCATGAACGATAGCATGATGGTAAAAATGATTATGATGATGGTACTACTAAAGTATGATAGTAACTTTAAGAGTGAATATGATTAGTATTATCATTAATTAATAACATTTCTCGCATTATATAAAAAACAAAAACAAAGAAAGCAATAGGGGGTGAATCATTAATACGTTGTCTATACGTATTTGCGATATATACCCTCGCTTGTACAGTAACACCTAGGAATCGTAGTGTTTTTTTTTTCTCTCTTTTTTTCTTTTTCTTTTCTTTTTTTTTTCCCTTTTTTTACTTAAAATCTCTCATGTATCATTTTTGTGTTGAAATTCATGCCGATACAATAAACTTTTGTTTACGAATAACTGAAGGCCAAGCTCGAGACTAAGAAGTCGATAAATAAAAGCTGAGTTTTTTTTTTTTCTCTCTCTCTCTCTCTAAAGATAACCTCGAGAATGGAAATAGTTCTTATCCAAATGATAACAAAAGTACCGACTTATCTGCAGTTATTATTGGCAAAGGGTATGAGATATAGTTATCATATATAATTAACAAAGAAGAATATATATATGC